CCCTATGGAGGTATATAGAGTATGGGCGGCCAACCTGTATAAAGCAAGGTCATCATCATCATTATCATCATCATGCTCATCATCATCATCATGCTCATCATCATCATCATCATCATCATCATCATGCTCATCATCATTATCATACATGTCAGATATCTATTATTACCACCAATAACTACATTAGATTGTTGTTATGATGATGATGATAGTATAAGGAGAAACAGAAGGACACTATCAATACTATCACAATGGTCGTCTAATATACCCAATAATAATATCAAAGTTCTATTCATTAACAACATACTATCATGTTGTTATCCATTATCCCCACTCACTTCTACACATACCCTTATGGATGGGATAGCTGCTTTCATAACCCTACTCATACATCTATGTGGAGGAGGAGGAGCATGTCGCCCTCCTACTACTACTAATATGGTATATCCTATTGCTCTTGCTTCACAACAACAACAACAACACATAGAGTGTATCACCACACATACGGTACTATTCTTAGCATTATAAACTTGATTATTATCATTACAGACCTCTCCTCCTCCTCTTCCTCCTCCTCCTCCTCGTCGTCTATCAAATAATGACTTGGTACATATAATATCTGATTTGTGGAAGACATCATCATCAGATAATGATGACAATACTCCTCTTCCTCAATGGGCAATCCAGTTATGGTAACAATAATAATAATACATCGACTCGATCATCATCATTATCATGCTGCTGCTGCTGCTGCTGCTCAGGATCGAATATTTATCCACTTCACTTGAGCATATTGCTGATGTAACACCAATAAAGATGAGATCAGATATAACACAGGAATGGATAAAGAGGAAGAAGTAAAGGGGAAGGATGATCATGATCATGATGATGATGATCATTGTTCATCATCATCATCTTGAATGATTATATGAAGGTCCCTTCAAGAAGAAGCCAGCAAGCGTCAGAGTCAATTCTTACTTGGACGACAACAACAACAACAACAATACAATAAGAACTGTGGTAAAGTGTCCAAGGATGATGATGATGATGATGATGAAGAATTCGCAGTAGCACATAATATAATGAATCCATCATATAGGAATAATGAGGTATGTTATAATGTACTACATTATGAATAGTAATATCATCATCATCATCACAGATGATATTATCACGTAATCCTCCTTTATTACCATACGCATTCTTTTACTTGGCTTGTCTAAATCCATCGTTATCTGATAGTCTTAAGGACCTCATACATACCTTTGGAGATATATTCTTAATAACATCTAATGAAGAAGAGGATGAGGATGAAGGAGAAGAAGAAGAAGAAAAGGAAGCTATAACGATACTCTCAATGTATAACAGCAGCAGCAGCTACACTCGGATCGATCATTCCTATTAAGTTACGATATTGTGTATGGTATCGGCTATTTGTTGCCCTTCCCTCCTCCTCCTACTACAACAACAACAGCTGATGACTATCCTAATATACCACCTCCATTATCCCATTTCGTTGCTGCAGTCGACGATATCTCCTTCGATCATCATATTCCACCATTGAGTAAGCATTGTATAACAACTACTTGTCCATTCACCATTGTAGATCCTACAAATGATTATGCCGTTGGAGAAAAAGTACTTGGTAGTCCTGAGGACTCGTCACAGCAGCAGAAGGTATGATGTTATCATAAATATTTGATTCATATGATGTTGTAACACTCTTGTTGAGTATTCAGATTCCCCAGACTGCTGCATGTGTACGGTGTATGTGGGTGAAAGATGCTTTGGAAGTATTGTTGAATCCGGAGTCAGTGTTAAGATGTGGAGACCTGCCTCTGGTGGTTCTGCTCCATATATCATAATATTGTTCATCATCATACACCACTTCAGGTTAGATATGATATACACTTATCGAGGCTGCATACGCCATCTATACCATCAATAGTGCTACCACCCTTCCAATAATGATCATGCTCATTATTGTTCATGTGATGATCATAATCATCTTTATTGAGTTGTTGAATTGTTAGCATGCGGAGTGGGGTTTATGTAGCTTATGTGGCTTATGTGCTTATCGTTTTGCGGAGCGATGATGATGATATTTTGCAGGTGTGTCTATTGTGTTGTCCTCGTCGTCCTCCACAAATAAACACCAATATCACAAATATCCGCGTCTCGTATGCAAAAAGACAAGTAGTAACATGACAGTAACATTGGAAGAAAAAACTGATGAGAGCGTTCTCTACGAAGGCTGAGATTTCTATCCCACCATTACCACTAGTAGTAGTAAGAATGGTGAGTAGCAACATTGAGACTACAGAATCAGAAGGTCTAGCATCAATAATTATTCATTACTATCATGAAAACAGATAATGTTATTGACCATATGTATCACCATGAGTGTATGATGAACATATTCATTCATATGTTTCATATCATCGATACCATCATATCATGCCACCAACTAC